CGTAGTGATACTGCCTCGGAAACCCAAGGAGGGGTCGCTATGAGTCGGGTTTGACTCGACGGCACATAACAACAACAACAACAACAAAACATAATATAAAGATAATATTTATATTATATTATCATAACTATATTATTATATATATATAATATTTAGCCCAATATTTTTAAATTATGGGAGCTCTGGTGACATAGTGCATAGCATTTGACTGCTAACCAGAAGGCTGGCAGTTCAAAACCACCAGCCACTCCTTGGAAGGAAGGCTGGGCAATCTACTTCTATAGAGATACTGCCTGGGAAACCCAAGAAGGGCTCGCTGTGAGTCAAATCGACTTGATGGCAGCGAGTCATCTAAAGTATGTTCATTTCAAGGAGCCCTGGTTTGACAGTGGTCAAATGCTTAGCTGTGGACTGAAAGGTAGGGGATTCGAACCCACCAGCCACTTCTTGGGAGAAAAATGTGACAGTCTGCTTCCATAACAACTTAGAGCCTTGGAAACCCTGTGGGGCCATTCTACTCTGTCGTATAAGGTCACTATGAGTCAGAATCAACTGGATGACAATGAGTTTATGCTCATTTCAACATGCAATCAGTATAGAAATTATTAGAGATATGTGGCATTCTTTAGGAGCTCTGGTGGCATAGTGGCTAAGACATTTGACTGCTAAGGCTGGCAGTTCAAACCCACCAGCCACTCAGAAGGAAGACTGGGCAATCTGCTTCTGTAAAGAGTTACCGCCTCGGAAACACAACCAGAGGGTTGCTGTTAGTTGGAACTGACTCAACGGCGGTGATTTTTTTTTTTGGTTGCATTCTTCTTTGGAATCATTCTTTGGAATCCAGTGTTTAGTTTATATTTGGAGCACATTTCAGTCCAGACTAGCCACCATTCAGGTGCCCAGTTGCCATCTGTGGCTCATGGCTATCAGTGGACAAAGCAATTATGGGGACATTGTGATGAAATGGGGAACACAGCCTGGTTATATGGTAGCTATTCTTCTTTTCATTATTCATTCTGTCTATGCCCCTGGAACCTCCCCAGACCTCAAAAAGCAAAAACAACCACAAACAAAATAACCCTTTACATCTTGGCACTTACCAGTGTTCAAGCCCCTTGGCCTCTACTGTCCCATTTAAACCTAACTACAGTCCTGTGGGGGAGCTCTGGAAGCGCAGTGCCTAAGGCACTTGACTGCTAATCAGAAGTCTGGAGGGTCAAAGGAAGGAAGATGGGGCAATCTACTTCCCTAGTGATACTGCCTCGGAAACCCAAGGAGGGGTCACTATGAGTCGGGTTCAACTCGACGGCACATAATAACAAACAACAACAACAATCCTGTGGGCCCAAAATAAGGCTCAGAGAGAAGAGGACAGTTGCCCACAGCTGCTCAGCTAGCAGAGAGGCACGGTAGGGTCTCAGGGAAGAGGGAGCTTTTGCCCCAAACCTTTCCTTCCTGTGTCTCAGCCACCTCCCTCATCCATGCAACTGGTGGGACTCCCCGCCACCCCAGGTAGCCCTTCAAGGCCAAATGTGCATATTGACTGGCTTTTGGTTACATAACCACATTTGGGGTGTCTGGTGGACAAGCATAGACTCTCCAGACCCCACACCCCATAGCTTTTTTCCCACCTAGTCTCCTATCCCTGCTTGCTACCAGCACCTCCCCTATCAGTGCTCCCCTAGAGCACTCCCCCATCACACACACACAACAGGATCAGAGACAGAAATTGTCTCCCCTCCTCCCTCACAGAGCTTGAAGCCACTTCAAGTATAACCAGTGTCCTGTGCCAATCTCACCATAAATCAACCCTGAATTCTATGTAGCAGCTCATTCTGATGCCAAAACCTTCATTAGTTGCGGGAATGGGCCAGAGAGCAAGCCTGGCCTTCGTTCCTGCGACAGTGACTCACCCCTTTGGAAAGGGCTGAGGTATTTGTCCTTGGGTGTGGGGCTGCAGCAGCCTCTGGGCTGGGGAACACAGTCTCGCTTTGTCCACTGGCTCTTGTTCCAAGATGGGAGGTTGAAGGTATGCGTCCTGGCCCTCCTCTCCCTCTCCAGTGACCAGACAGTCTCTGGATTCTCCCCTGCCGTACCACTTCTTTGGAAACAGCTCTGGCCTCTGTTTTCCATGGAGGTGGAAGATGACTGTCTGAATTCTAGGCACGGTGAGGTGATATGCAGGCACCCAGAAAGAGCCATTTAAGCTTGTCCATGTTGTTGTTAAGTGCCACTGAGTTAATTTCTACTCATAGCAACCAACCCCATTGGACAGAATGGAACTGCCCCATATGGATTTTTTAGCTGTTACCTTTGGGAGCTCTGGTGGCCTAGTGTCTGAGGCATTTGACTGCTAACCAGAAGGCTGGCTGTTCAAACGCACCAGCCACTCCTTGGAAGGAAGGCCGGACAATCTACTTCTGTAGAGATACTGCCTCGGAAACCTGAGGAGGGATAGCTGTTATCTTTACAGAAGCAAAATACCAGATTTTTCTTCCACAGAGCCACTAGGTGGGTTTGAACCTCCAACCTTTTGGTTAGTAGCCAATCACTTAATCATTTGTGCCACAAGGGCTCCTTAAATGCTTAAGGAGCTTAATGCATATTCTTACTAAGATGTAAATGATTGATAGGATGTAACAGAGGAACATGGCACTAATTGAAGAGCAAGGATGGGGGGGGCAAAGCAAACAAAATGGAGGCTTGAGGTGCCAAAAATAGACTGGGGAATTTCACGATGTCATAGAGCACTGGTTCTACCCCCAAAGGCCCTCACCACCGTTGTGGTATCCAGACCTCGACTATGGGGTCCAGGGAGGGCTGGGCTGTGGCAGACATGGGAGAGCTTACACAGAAAGCCATGGGCCATGGAGAAGGAGTAGAGACAGAAACAGGTTGGGGAGTAAGGCCTGGGGGCAGGTTGGGAGCTCCAGGCTACAGAAGCCTACCTTCCATTCCCAGCGTCGGCCAGCGGCAGCTTGTGTGCCTGGCCCGAGCCCTGCTCCGCAAGAGCCGCATCTTGGTTTTAGACGAGGCCACAGCTGCCATCGATCTGGAGACAGATGACCTCATCCAGGCCACCATTCGCACCCAGTTTGAAGCCTGCACCGTGCTGACCATCGCACACCGGCTCAACACCATCATGGACTACACCAGGTGGGGCTCGGGCCCCACGCAAGGAGGGACCTTGTGGGGTTGTCTGGGGCATGGGGAAAGAACAGGACAGATTGGGGTTATCTGGGCTGGGGAGACTTTGTGGAGTTGTCTATGGCATGGGGGACAGAGTGGGGTTTTCTGAGTTATGGATTAGAAGCAGAAGAAAGTGGAGTTACCTGGGCATGGGGGGAGCACAGTGATGTTTTAGGGGCACAGGAGACATTTTTGGGTTACCAGTGTGTGGGGAAGAAACACATTGGGGCTCTCCAGGCATTGTGAATCATGCCCAGGCCACCCCATCCCAACACTTCCTGAGTACCTGGTTAGAGTGACCCCCTCTATCATTTCATTTGTGACTCACTACCACCCTGTGAATAGGAGCCCTGGTGGCACAGTGGTTAAGAGCTCAGCTGCTAACCAAAAGATTGCCAGTTCAAACCCACCAGTTGCTATCTAGTTGATTCCACATGCCAAACCTATATGACAGAGTAAACTGCCCCACAGGGTTTCCAGGGTTATAAATCTTTAAGGAAGTAGACTGCCACATCTTTCTCTTGCGGAGCAGTTGATGGGTTCAAACTGTCAACCTTTCAGTTGTGGCTGAGCACTTAACTGTGCCACCAGGGCCTTGGAAACCCTATGGAACTAGTTGCTATGAGTCAGAATCAACGTGATGGCAATTTTCTTTTTTTTTTTTTTTAAACCAGCCAGTGAGATGGGTGTAATTATACTGTTTCCTAGATAAGAAAGCAGCTTGGGGAGGGTGGTTCACGATGCCTGGGTCCCTGCATTGGTGGGTGGGCCCCAGGGTGTGTTTGCTGGCAGCACCATCAGAAGCTGATGTCTGTAGAAAGCTCTTGGATCTGAAGTCAGAGGGCCTGAGACCCAGGCCCAGTTCTGTTGCCAAGTGCTGTGTGACCTTGGGCAACTCACAAAACCTTTTAAAGCCTGTTTCAAATAGAAATGATAACTCATCTCAGGGCTGTTCTAAGGAGTCCATGAAATTATGTAAAATGCAGGTGGTCCTGAGACATGTGGTCTCCTCCCCAGCCCCTCACCTGTCCCCTTACTATAGGACTCAAAGGATTAGGAAAGGGATCTTGCTCTCGGAATCTTTTGGCTGCCTTGGGGAGGCAGGCCACCCAGGCAAAATGACAAACTTGTGACCTGTTCCTTCACTTTGTCAAAAGTCAAGGAGTGGTGCTGGAAGCCGAGTGGGGAGCCTAGAGGGCTCAGAAACCTCAAGGAAATGGGCTGACGGGTTGGCCCTCTTAGATACATGAGGGGGACCCCTAAGGGAAGAGAAGCTGAGAGGCTTGAGCAAGTCTGTTGAAGGAGTATGGTAGGAATGCATCATTGGGCCTTCATTCATTCAGTAAACACCTGTAGAGAGAGAGAGCACCATGGGCAGGGCAAAGGGTCAGACCTTGTCTCTTTCTCAGCAGTGTCCCCATATGGCTAAGGGCCTTGGAAGCTAAGCTCACCACCCCCACATACACATATATTCCCATCCAGAACCCCAACACCGCTCTGGAGGAGAAGGGAGGCTGGGCAGGAAGCACTGGGCCCTGGGTCCAGGCCAAGGACAGGGCTGGAGCAGAGAGAATCTTTTCTTAGACCTAAATGAAAGTGGTTCACTCACAGAAGCCCAGATAGAGGGAGACTCAGATTGACCTCGGCAACTGGGTATTCATTCATCCTAGTGGGGCAGGCAGAAATGATCAAATTCATTAGAACCTGCAAGGAAGAAGCAGGGGTCCATGTATGTGTAGGCCAGGGAGGCTCTTGAGGAAGTCCAGTGCACCTGCTCCCCAGCGGATGAATAGGAGTTGGGGGTGGGAGCAGGGAGAGAGCTGAAATTTTCAGACAGCAGATGCAACACCTGCAGGGTCGTCCTGGGGCAGGAGGGCATGTGAACCTGGAGTGCAGAAGGCAAAGGGTACAGTGGAACCAAGATGAGGGGGAGAAGGGGACAGGCCCCCTATAGCAGTCTTTGAGACCATGGTAAAGCATTCAGTCCTAACCCTCAGAGCAGTGTTCTTATTGCCACTGAAGACTTTTCTGGGGAAGGAGGCAGGAGGTGGGGGGAGGTAGGCAGTCCCCTGGGCTCCAACTTGAGGAGGGGTTAGGCAGGGATGTCCACAGAAAGCTCCTTCCAGATTTCTGGGAGCCCAGGAAGGGGGAATCAGAGGGTCATCTCTCCAGGCTTGGGAGAGCTTTTCCCTTCCTGCCCCAACCTGTGGAGCCATTCTGGTTTGGCTGGTGGGAGTTTCTAATCGCAGACCTGACCATGGGGGGCAGGGATCCACCATCAGTGGCAGCCAGATTGGCAGCCGTAGTCCCAGATTCCAATGTCAGGCCTTGCTGCAGCCGGGTTTCCCACCGCGCCTTTGTAAGCTGACACAAAGAATATGGAAGTGCACAAAGCCCAGCGCACAGGCCTGTGGCTCCCTACGCACAGCCCACCCCAAGTCCTGTGACCCCAGAGAAGGGAAGGGCTCATTAGGGAAGCTTTTTGGAGCCCCGACTAGCAGAGATGAATAGGCACCTGTGTTTGATCCCAGAAACCGCCTCATTTGCCAGGAGAGCAAAGGGAGCATCTAAAATAACCAGCCTCGCAAGTGTGCACATGTGGCGTAGCAGCCGTGTTGGGTGGATAGACTGAAATGGGTGGGTTGGCATATCACTGCAGGATCCGTGCAGTCCCCAGAAGGGCAGGGCAGGGCTGGGCTGTGCAGCCAGGTCAAAGCTGATGGAGACCTGACCATTTCTCTTCTTTGTCTAGGGTCCTGGTCCTGGACAAAGGGACAATAGCTGAATTTGATTCTCCAGCCAACCTCATTGCAGCTAGAGGCATCTTCTACAGTATGGCCAAAGATGCTGGACTTGCCTAAAATAGATTCCTGAGATTTCCTCCTGGCCATCCCCTATTTTCACCAGGAAAATAAATGAAACCAAACATTGTCTGCAGAATGGATCTGATGGCAAATGCTGGAAGCAATTACATTTTGCCCCCGTACAGTGTCTTACAGTGTACCGGGAACTGTGCTAACTGCTTTAGATGAAGAAGGGAGGCCTGACGGGTGAATGCCATGCTGAGGTCCCAGCAAGTTGGAGGCAGAACCCCAACCAGTCTCCAGGTGTCCTGATTCCCAATCTCGTGTTATCCCCACAATGCATTGATTTTAATCATGTTACAGAATGACCTCCCTCCTTGCTATGTTTTCTTTGTCTTTCTTTCAGATTTTCTAAGGTTTTTTTTTTTTTTTTTAATAAAGCTTTTCCTCCTGGAACAGGAGACTGCCAGCCAAGGCCATCCCTAAGAACTGAGTGCAGTACTTGGGGGGGCTGGCCAGGATCCACTCAAAATGGAGCACTGATGAAATCAAGTGATGTAGCCTTTCTCTGCCTATGCACAAGGTTTGGGGTTAAGACCTTAGGGAGGCAGGGAGGAAGAGGGAGATGCGGAGGAGGTGGACTTTACCTACCTTTACCACCTACATGGCTGCAGCTATTTGAAAACTTTGGCCCTAAAAGCTTTTGGCTAGAAAGTGTCTTCACAACCAAAATTCACTGGGTTACTGCCAGTAGTTCTGCTTCACTGCACAGACAGCATCAAAAGGTGAGAAATAAAGCCCCTGAGATCCAACCCGAGGCCTCTAGGGACAACTGCTGTGAACACCTCCACGTTTGTCACCCTTCAGACCATTAAGCCAGTTTCTCCAGGGACTGAGAAATAAATACATGGTGCTTTATTTCCTTGCTCCTTTAGAAGTCTGTCTATATTTCCCCATAACCACTGCAGCCTTCCAGTCATTCACCTCAGCCCAGCCGAAGCGAGTATGCAAGCATGAGAAGCCCAGGGGCTGCCACCTGCCCTGACAGTCCCCAGCTGTTCAGGGAGATGTGCGGGGTTAAATTAAATGTGTCCTAGGTAGCCAACACAGAGTTCGTTTTCTGCAGGGCAGAGTCCACCTGGCACAAGCCTCCTTCGATTTGGAGTGATCTCTTCCCTTTGTTACCTTACTGTTTTCTGTTCTGTTTTTCATTTCCTGTACCTTTGATCCTTGATGTGATGTGACTTGTTGGTGGGTGGTTTTTTCCCTCCACCCTAAGTGGTTAGCAGTGGGTATAGAGAGGGCTTCTTTGATCTGGTTCTTCTATATGCTCTGGGTCAGCCTGTGCTGCAGGTCCATTTTTTAAAGGTTAATCACATTTGGGGTGGGGTGGGGACAGGCTGCTTCCACTCAGGATGTTTATGAGGATGTGGAAGAAGACTTCTATCCTTGTGATAAAGCAAGTATGAGAGCACAAATGCCCAAATTATGCTGCCTTCCCTTGGTGCTAAGAAAAGGTCTCTGCCATGCTCTCTGATTTATTAGGCCAATTTGGCATGACGTCTGCTTTGTGAGGCTCTGGCTGCCCTAAACCAACAGAAACGCAGATTCACTCGGCATCGTTCTCAGCTAAAGATCTGAAGGCGGCAGGCTGCACTTCCTCTCCCATCCTGGGAGGCTGCATCTATGCTCGCCGCAGCCCTGTCAGGAGCTGACAGCCCAAAGGAGAAGGCTCATTGTGTAAAGTAAATAGGATAATCAAAAAAGGTGGTTAATAGGGAGTGACCTCAATCTAGCTGGCTCTGCTTCTCGGGAATGAAGCTGACTGCTGTGAATTGGGAGGAAAGACGCCACACAAGATATCTGTCTCCAGGTGCCAGTGACAAGGTGTGAGTGCTGCAACGGCAGCAGCAGTGGGCAGAGGTGGCTCAGGTGGAGAATGAGACCAGAGCTGCTTTCTCTAGATTTGCCTGTCCCTTTGACACCCTTCCAACTGGCAGTCTGGTGCTGTTTACCAAACCAAAATGAAAGGATATGGGCTTGGTCAGTTAGTATTTAATTTTAATAACACTTGTTATGTTTGAACAGTCAGCGATGCATAAAGGAAAAAAAATCTTCAGTGAATGTTTACACACAATGTGAACACATGCTTTAAATATGCAGTGGAGAAGAAGGGGTGAATTCACAGTTAACAAAGCTAAAAAGAATCCTTGTTGTAAATTACACAAAGCATATAAAAATATTTCTCTGAATGCATAGATTAAGACTTTAAACTCACCTACCAGTAACTGTGCAGTCTTACCCCACTGCCAGATGCAGGAGTCCATCAACAACAGAGGACTTTATAAACGAGAAGAGAGACCAGTGTAGGGCAGAGCCACCTAGAACCTGTCTCTCACCTAAGACACCAAGATCCTTGCTCACCTGTGTCTAAGCCTGGGAGACGCCCTCTGTAGCCCACCTCCCAGCCAGGGGCTTCCACTGCTTCTGAGTCTCTACTTGCTCTGGAATAGCTACAAGAGTTTTAACCCCAGTAACACAGACATGAATTAATACTGAATTTATTTTCCCCAGGATAGAACCAGCCTTAATTCCATCAGTAACTTTTTTAAAGCAAAGACAGAAAAAAAGGCTGCTACCTCTAGTTCAACTGGCTTCTGATTGGCTGAAACACAAGGGAGCTTCTTCCTTAAAGCATTGAGAGAAAGAGGGTAATAAGTCACTTTCACTTTGCTATGTATCCACTCTGATCAAGGACGAGGAAGTCACTATCAGTAATTGGTGGAATACAGTGAAGTCACTGAGTAGAGTGACTCCATGAAGTTGGCCTTGAAAAACACCTCAACCTCATCTCACCATTTAGGCAGCAGCAGGAGGCCATTATCTTAGCACAACATTCTCTTCAGCTGCCATCTTCTGCATGTTCTCACTCAGCTGTACTGTTCCAATAAAATTAAGTTAACACAGTTAGGAAGTTCAGTTTCTTTGGAAACTATAGGCACTATGGGGAAAAGCTTCTTAAGACAGCGGGGATGCTCCTCAACAGCTGGCTTCGAGCCCTGCTCGCCTGGGTCTAAGTGTACTAGTTCTTAATTGTAAAGCTAAGCTTTGCCTCAACAAATCAGTGGCTTTTCTTGTAACATTAGTGACACTGAAGAAAAGGACAAGAATCCTTGAATGCATTCTTTAAAAAAATGTTTATGCCATGCTCAAAAGTTTAATCAGGTTTTGTGTTGTTGTTATTTGTTTGTTTCCATTTACTTCAGAAAAAGTCTGATAGACTCACAACTGACCATGTTAAGTGGATTGGTGGGGTGGGGGTGGGGGTGGGGGTCGCTACATCAAACAATTTGTTTATAAAAGCAACAGATTTAAGTTGTGTAAAAACCCTAATAATTTCAAAATAACCTTTATCTTTGATACAAAAATAAAGATGCTAACTCCTTTAGTTCAGTTTCCCACAATAGCCTTTAAAATAGCAATGGAGTCAATCTCAAAAATTGCATTTCATTTCTAATGGAAAATGTAAGTGGACAACACTGGCCGGCAATGTTTGTGCTGTTCTCATCTCTCCGGTGCAATTAACCACATAGATGGCAGGTGTGGGGCAGAGTGGACAGGGGCTACTCCTTGAGAAAGCATCAGAGAGCCCTCTAGTGACCACGAGGGGGAGTTAATGCAGACACAACTGGACAATGGCTGACTAGAGACAGAGGAGCAGGCATGAGTGGTAGAGGAAAAGGTGAGAGAGGGGAGGCTCTTTTGGTTAACAGCCTATTTACAATTAGGTAACTGTATTCTTAAATACTTTTAACCTGAGTAACATTTATAAATATGGTATATGAAACCTCACAGCTACAAGTCACACTAAAATTCCTTTGTCCTGTACCCAATTTTCCTCTGGTTAGTTCACATTTCAGGAATTGTGAGCGTGCAACACCGCCAACAGTGCTTCTCAGCCCTTCAGGTGCACTGTCAACAGGAGAGGCTCAAAACAGGCTCCACTCTCGTCTTCTGCTTAGATGACTCTCTCACATCCTACACCTAAAGCCCACTGGATATAGAAACCTTTGGTTTCTGCCTCTCCAGACCACTTCTCTGCTGTTCAAAGCTCCAAGCGATAGGTTTATTGTGCACCAAGAGGCTTGGAAGAGTGGCACCACTGCTTGGGGGTTGGGGACTTCCTACCTTGGCAGATGGTGTTAGTGTACACTACACGGTGGCACCAGGGCCCTCCCCGGCACCCAAGGCAGAAGTGTAGAATACTATAGCCTTGATTTGGATCAATGGCTTGTCCTTGGCCTAGGTGACACGCACTGCCACAATCCTCAGTGACAGAAGTCCCTGCTGCATTAATAAGTCAGTTTTGAAGCTCTCCGGTTATAGCAAGGCCTCTCAGTCAGTGTGGATGCAGCACTTCGGAACAGAAAATTATTTTCACTTATCATGAGAACCAGTTCCAGCTCTTGAAAATCTTGGAGTCGGGCAACATCTTTGTCCTAAAACAAAAGTAGGTTAAACAGTTTAAGAGGAGCCATTTGTATCCACGTGTTTGGTGTGCTGTGTCAATTATGAGTATTGGCTCATTTTAAAACCTAGAAGCAAGGGTAAAAAATCACTGTGGCAGGGCTAAGTTAGTGACTGTGTAGAATGGCCCCCAGGGGCGAGAGTTGGGTTGGAATGGTGGAAGCCCCCAGCAGCAGCTGCTATAGGATGAGCATGTGTTGAAGGTAGAGACAATGCCTGCAATAGTTTTCCAGGTGCCTGGAGAAACCAGATGCCTGATGGGCGGAGTGTTCAGGGAGCCCAGGAACATTGGGAGGACTGCACATGTATCTATGTAGATTTGCCTGTGATTTTGAGATAAGAACTCAGCTTTTATCTTGTAAAACACAAGGTACATCTAGCAGTGCACGAAAATAATCCTTTTAGATCACAAGTAAAACATCTGAAATAGGTACATGTAAATGGTTATTCACAAAATTCTCTCTGGTATCCTATATAGTGTCTCTTGGGACTGTCATACACTGCTGGTGGGACTCTAAAATGATACAATCACTGTGGAAAGCAGTATAGAGATTCCTTAAAAAGTTGGAATTAAAAATACCATTTGATCTAGTAATCCCATTACTGGGTATATATCCTAAAGAAGAGAGAGCCAGGACAGGAACAGATATATGCACACCCATGTTCATCACAGCACTATTTACAATAACAAAAACATGGAAACAACCTGGATGCCCATCAACAGAAGAATGGATAACCAAACTATGGTACATATACACAATGGAATACTATGCAAACTAAAGAATAACATTGTTGTTGTTGTTGTTATTTGCCGTCGAGTCGGCCCCGACTCATAGCGACCCCTCCTTGGGTTTCCGAGACAGTATCACTACGGAAGTAGGATTGCCCAACTTTCCTTCCGAGGACTGGCTGGTGGGTTTGAACCACCAGCCTTCTGGTTAGCAGTCAAGTGCCTTTAGGCACTATGCTACCAGAGCTCCCCAAAGAATACATAGAATCTGCAAAACACCACATAATGTGGATGAACTTGGAAGACATTATGCTGAGTGAAATAAGTCAATCACAGAAGGACAAATACAGTATTAGTTCATTATTGTAAAAAGTCAAGGAAAGGTTTATGCATGGAAGGAAACTTTTTCGGTTGGTTACCAGGGGTAGGAGCAGAGGGTAGGAAACATTGCAAAAATTTTTTAAAAAAACAAAAACTGCTAGTGTCTCTCTAGCCCCAGCAGAGGGCAAAAAAGTGCAATGATTGATTACATTTGGTAAACCACCCTTTGCTCCTTTTCTACTCTTTCTTCATTTCTTCACCTGTGGCTCATATGACCCAGAAGGAAGCTGGGTGTTTTCCAAATGCAAAGCCACCACTCACGCCTAACAGACCTTTCTTACCTTCCTTAACAGAGTATTGGGTAATTTTCTGATCTTCTCCACCTGATCTGGATTAACACCCAGCTCACAGCAACTCACTCGGAGCAATTCTTGGTAGGTGAGCTCCTGTCGGTCCAGTTCAATTTCAATGAAATCATTTTCTCGAAGAGATGGGTTCTGAATCCTCACCTTGAGTACCAGTTCTAGAAAAAAAAGGGGGAACGTTAATGAATGGTTCTGGCATAGGACAGACATGTAATTTAAGATCTTTTCCAGAAGATGGTAATACTTAGTCCTGCCCCACACCAAAGGCCTATGCTACCCAGTGAGTCACCATGTACCTTCAGTAGGGTTTGCTTAGCCCCAATTCCAGCTCTGAGGTAGTTTCCTGCACTGTCATTCCTCCATCTAAGACCGCACTACATAAATATAACAGGGGTGGTGGTGGTGGTGGTAGAAGGGACTTGCCTGCTAACCAGACGG